TTATAAGACAGACAGGCATAAAAATACAAACACATTTCAAAGACAGTCATAACAATAAAACATCAAACATTAACATGCGTTGCAATACAACCTGAATAAAGTTCTCTAATAAACAGGGTAATACTATCATGATAGTTGTTAAGACAAATGCATGGACAACATATGTACAACATGCAACGAGAATAAGGAAAAAAAAATGAAACCCTTTGGGTTGGCTTGAACAAAAGTGACCAATACATATTTGATAATGAGATTAATATGACAATAACAACAAAGCAACATGAATTATAATAAGAACATATTAAAAAATATATAATAAGAACACAATTACAAAAAATAAAAATGACATGCACAACATTAATAACAGCTGCCACATACAGTCTATGATAACATATAAATCCTATGAAGTAAGGTAGAGGTTCTTGACCAGGGATCCATAAAGCTATGGAACCTGTTTTCTTTTCTTTTCTAGATGTTCAAAAAAAGTAAAAAATAGGAACAGAGGAGGTTGTGACCACCATTTCTTTTCTACTCATTCTCTGTCAGTTATATTGAATGGTATGTCATGATTATTTTACCACCCTTTTGCTCTCTACTCAATGCATGCTCACACGTATCTATGCAGCCCACATAGGAACATTATACATAAGCTTATACGGTATCCATTTTTGTATATACCAAATGATAGGTATAATATGATAAAAAAATAACATAATAATATCAACGAATTAGTAATGGAACAAATGCCAATAAAAGTTAAGTAATAAAAATGATAATAAAAGAAATGAAGATTAATGGTGACATTGAACATAATAATAACAAGAAAGTACAGTAACAAAACACAATAACAAAACATATAAAATATTCATAACAATAGTAAATTATATTACATAATTCAGATGCGAAAACAAATCATACAAATTATAGTATCAATAACAATAATAACAACAAAAGAAATGGCAACAAAGGCTCAAATAATGATAATGATAAGAAGAGTAAAAATAACAACAAAACAACAGAAAACTATACATAGCAAAAATAATGACAATAAGTGAGAAAATACAATGCTAGTGAAGGTAATGATGATGAAAATAATAATAAAAAATATGATAAAACTGCCAATGACAATCATAACAGAATGGTAATAACAAAGCTATTGATGATAAAATGTCGATGCAGATAACAAAAACAACAAAGAGACAATATTATAGAGATAATGAGAACTATCATGATTATTATGACAGCAATTATTATAATAGCATGAAAATAATCATGAAAATAATCATTGATGTTGATGATATTGATGATGGTAATAATAATGATAATAACAATAAAAATAACGATAGTAATAATAATTACAAAGACGGCTACATAACAAAATGGACAATAACATCATGAAGACAAGAATGATGATGATGACGAAAATAACAATAACTAACTAATTAACTATTTCAGGCAGTATAATGATTGATTTGGGAAACTACAGATGCAACAACGGTGAAACTATTGCAAACAAAAAGCAAGAAATGTAATGACAACAGGAAGAGAAAGGGAGATGATTGCGAGGTTAATAAAGATAATGATAAGGGTAATGATAATGATAATGATAATAAAGATTATACAACTAATGATACTAATAACTATGGTAATGAGATTATTGATGGTAATGATTATAATTAAAAGAACACCAATGAGTAAAGATAATGATAATGATAATAGTAATTATTATTATTGTTATTATTATTATCATAATAATAATAATAATAATAATAGTAATAATAACAATAATGATGATAATAACAAAAATGATTATGATAATGATGATAAAAAATAGTAATGATAAGAACAATGATAAGGATAATTATAATAATCCAGACACAATATGAATATCATAATTATTGTTATGTTTAGCACTATCACTGATACAAATAATTGAATTATCATTATCATTACTTTTATCTTTATAACATTAATATCATTATAACAACAGTTTTAAGAGGAAAGGTGATAAAAGCAATAGAATAACAGCAATGAAAAAGGGAAAAAAATATGAAGCGAAGTATATAGAAGAAGAAAAAAAATGAACAAAAGGAGAGAGAGAGAAAGAGAGAGAGAGAGAGAGAGAGAGAGAGAGAGAGAGAGAGAGAGAGAGAGAGAGAGAGAGAGAGAGAGAGAGAGAGAGAGAGAGAGAGTAAGATAGATAGGTAGATAGATAGACAGAGAGATGATTCTATTACTGATACCATTACCACTACAATACCTACTTCCACAAATATTACTCTATTTGCTAACGATGATGACGAGGAAAATATGATAAACAATAATAATGATGAAAATAATGATGATGATGATAATTTTGATATAATGATAATTAAAATAATAATTCTGATAATAATAACAGTCATAATAGTACAACAGTACATTTGGTGATAGATAAACGTAATCGTAATGAAATATTTATGATATTTCTGTCATGAATGAAAGATAATAATAATGAATATGAAGATTATTACAATTTTGATAAGGATGATAATAATGCTGATAAAAAATATAATAAAAATACAGCACTATACACTCAAAAGTGCACAGTGCCACACAACTTACACAATCACCACATATGCAATATAACATTTTGCAATTCAACATAAACATGCATAAGATTAAACATACATCAACATGCTATAACTGCTACTTGTATTATACATAAAACATATATATAAACAAGGCCAAACATAACATAACAGCCTTTCACGTCATACATATAACACATATTTCTTTACATGCTTAAAAAAAAGGAATAAAAATTTAACAAAAATGCTAACAAGTCTTTAGAAACCAACATTCGATAGAATTAACACAGAGAATTTTAAGTACATTCGTTCTAACATTTTTAAAAACATTTTGCGGACACATTCATAGCAATACTTAGCTAACCCTTTGACAACACAAGAGTCATTTCAAGAGCAAATATAATGACAGTGTGCACACAATATTTTTTTCTAAAAAAAAGGGAACGTTTAATGATCTGAGACATATATGCAAGCTCATGTGATGCGGTATGTATATATATATATATATATATATATATATATATATATGTATATATATATATATATATATATATATATATATATATATATATATATATATATGTGTGTGTGTGTGTGTGTGTGTGTGTGTGTGTGTGTGTGTGTGTGTGTATATATATATATATATATATA